CTACACTATTTTGATCTTTGTAGATATAGACATGTCATACTATACATTTTTTCCCCCAAGGTCTTCATCATTGCTTTAGCAATTGCTAATCTTTTGGTACATTTCTTTATTGTTTGTTCCTTTACTCTTGATGGTTGATCCTGAAAAGCTTTTTACTGCAATTCCCAATTAGAACAGTCATATAAATATTATTTTAGGGGCTATCTAAATCTTTTTATCTATCTTTCCTATTTGTAATATGGAGAGAGTATTATTAATGTATCTTACATAGTTGTCAACTGTTTTTTAAAAGACTTCTTTCCAATAGGACTTCATCTATAAACTTTAAGCATCTTTGTAAGTCTCAAAAACTCTGGGAGGGTGGTTTGGAATTTGAATCCAGTGGCTATTTGTGGCAAAGGATTCTTTTTCAACCTATTTCAGTAATTCATCAAGAATTGATCCTGATGATAATCCAAAGATAATACTCTATTTGGCTAAAATTACATTACATAAATTGTAACCTTATTAAATTATATTGAATGAGCTATAAGCAAATTATTTCATGTTACCATTTCTAAAAGCAATGCCCAGTGAATCTTTCTTTTTAGCTAGAAATTTAAGATAGATCAAACAAGTAATCTTTGACTTACATCTATTCATTTAGCAACCGAAAAATGTGAATTACCACCATTCCTTGCATTATCAGCCATCACATTATACCCATGATCTTGTGCTCAAAATCTCACCACTTGTCATCTGGCATGTATTTATGATGAATGCAGCCTCCTGAGATCATGTGTTGGCCATTTGCAGCCTTCCCAGCTAGCTTCTAATAAGCAAACTTCCTCAATGGAAGTTTATTGATCTCACAATTCATTTAACAATTACAATGATTTGCTTAACAATAGTGGCAGAACAAGTAGTAAAATTGGGTGTGACTTACTTAATAACCACTTTGCTTAGCAGTGGAAATTCTGGTCCTGATGGTGGACATGAATTGAGGACTACCTGTACTAATAAAAGAGCTGTCAAAGGAGTTCAGAGTTTTTTATAGTCTAAAATCACAGTCTGGGTCATATTTGTAAACTTGTGTTGTTTTATGCAGGATTTTGGATTTGTAAACTACTTATACTATTAGGACTCTCTTTGCAGTAATATAGCTTCATTTCCTTAGAAAATATCTAACAAAAAAGATTTAGTTGAGATTAATTATGTTACGAGATAATCTGTAGATCCGTGTTTCTCAACTGTAGCCATTTTAAGATATGTGGACTTCCTACCAGAATTCCCCAGGCAGCACTGCTGGGGTATTCTGGGAGTTGAAGTCCACACATCTTAAAATGGCTACGGTTAAGAGTCATTGCTATAGATGACACAGTGACTAAACTATGGAAGTATACAACTTTTGAAAAGTGTTCTTGAAAGTTTTGAACTGCATACAGATTTTGAGACACTGGAAGAAAACAAAGAAACACTGTTTGTTTGGAATTCAGATCAAAGGACTGAACACTTTCGCTGCCTCCATCTTTTTAAGAAGTATTGTGTATACTGACAAGTAAAACATAAGTTGATGCATCATTTTGGATCTTAGAGCTACTAATGTATATGAACACAATAAAAAGGCAATATATAATCAACAGATAAGCTTAGAAGACTAGTTTGTAAAATAAAGAATGAAGGGTGAAAGGTTTCTTTTGTTGTCTCTTTTCAACCATTCTCCCACTAATCAAGGCTAGCATATATCTATACATACAATGAACTTGTTCTGACTTGTTTTGTCTGCCTTTATAAAATTAAAGAAGAATAGATCCTCACCAAAGCGTTCCAAATCTAAAAACAAAATTGAAAATAATATTGCTATAACATGTTGAGTGATGGATTGTTAAAAAAGCTACCAAGAAACAAATTGATCAATTATTTTTGTCAGGGGAAAAAAATATGCATCTTCTATTTTTTAATTCCCCACCTCCTTTGTTGTTAGCCCCTTCGTCCAAAAATCATGTACCTGCTTTAGTTTTACTATTGTGAGCAAAACATTCCATTGGTATGAAGTGTCGTGCTTCGTTCTCCAAATAATGCTATTATATAATGCAGTAGGATTATATGAAGCCATAAACTGCTTATTTTAGAATGCTCAGCTTTAATCTTAGAAAGGCTAATTTTCTGCTTAAAAGGTTGGGGAGGAGTGGAAGATACACAGAGTAATGAAATTAAGCTGCCATTGGCACAAGGCAAAACTATGACAGGTGAGCCAAAGAACACTATCAGCTATGGCAGAGACCCTAATAACATACATTTTCACGCAGACATACTCCAAACTACTTCAAACCTTGGAAGCATGACAGCTGTGAAAAAGTAATGCCAACAAGGAGAAGATACACACACACACACACACACACACACACAATAGGAAATGCTTTAGTATGTATTAATACAAATAAAGCAAGTGATATTGAAGTTACAAAAAGAGAGTGAGAGAAGAGAGAATTGTATGGAAAGGGAATGAATTATTCATTATATTTAAAGAAAGATTGCCTTGGAAATGTTTGGTAATGCACTCCCTGTGTAGATTTAAATGCTTATTGTTTTCCTGTTTAAAGCAATGGAAATTTAATTCAACATTTTCATGACAGTTTCTTTTTTAAAATGCTTATTGCCAAAGAAACATTATTTAACTTTTGATGAGGATACTTTATATTCAGAAAATATTGTTTAGTTTTCAAAGAAGATAAGCAGAATGATCTAATCGTAAAAAGACAAGGGTTTTATACCATGAACAAACAATTTGGTTTAGTTTCTTTTTTTAAAAAAAATCTGCTGCAGACAAAAATCAACCTCATAGAAAAGGGGGAATAAGATTAGATTTTATGAATGTTATAAACTCCATAGGACACCAGCACAATGTAGGTTAGGAAAGCCATTGTAGCAATGCGCTCTGTATGCAATCAGAAGCCAATTGTTAGTGGACTGTGTATAAGCACATACTGTGCTCAATGATCTGATGAGGTATTATGGATATGATGCAGAGAGACCTTGTGGATTAGAACCTCACCATTTGTTTAAAAAGTGAAAGCAACTTAACATTTACACTGAGCTTGTCTGAAGACTGGCTGCTCTTTGGATGGTAAGCCGAAGAGAGAGTATTTTCTTTACTGTTTTATTGCTTCGGGGAATTTATGGTATAGTTGAGAATTGAGCTGGGGTTGAGAACTTGATGTATATGCATGGGGGAATTTGCCATTCCTAAATTGCATTATCTTAAATCTTCTATACCACACCTATGTTGTTAATTCTGTGGGTAATGTGAAAAAAGTTTAGGCAAAACAAGTATATTATATTATTATAAAACTTTTAAAAATGGAAGAGGAATAGCTTAATAAAATATAGCCTGGAGATAATTTGTAACACTGATTTTAAATGAGAAAGCATTGTTGAAGCACGGTTATAATATGTAAGTATATATTATATACTTACTCTTTTCATTTTCTACCCCTCTTTCCACTTCCAGCTTTAGTGGAGTGATACAGGTCATAGTTATAATGTGAAAGTATATTACGTAATTGTGTTCAAACAGGCTACAGACTCCTAGACATTTCTTATTTTATGAGCAACTCCATCATAATACTTTGAAATTACAGCACTATTGAACACTAAATACTTGGAGATAAATAATCCATATATCTAACATACAACCAGAGAATGGGACAATCAATGTAACAGTGTTGCAGTTGATAACCAAAGAAAGATTTTGAAGAATGTAATAACAGAGGATATTATTATGAACAGATCTGACAGTCCAGTTCCAACATCTACATTAATAGAGTTAAGAGTTTCACTGGCCTACAGCAATATCCTTTCATTGATGGGAGGGCAGGATAGGCGATCCTCTTTTGGCTTGGCACAAGGTAAACCCAAAACAATACCCTTTTGTCTAGAGGATAGAGGAGCAGAAGCAGCAATTTGACCTGCTGAAAAATGATATTTTGTGTAATTGAGAGTGACCTGCTTCTTTCAGTTTCCAAGATAAGAGAGTTTAACTTGTGGGAGAAGAGTAACTGGTAGGAAATCAGAGGTAAGAAGTCAAGAAAATCAACATGGGAGGCCTGTTTGAGAGAAATATTGCTCACATCCTGTGATTTCTAAAATTTTAACCAAATCTGTAATAGTGAGGATTCCAGAAAATGAACCTATTCCCTATGACTTGATTTTCTATGTGATCACTCCCAGTGAAATATGGAGAAAATGAGATTTACAAGCCAGGATTTATTGTATTGTTGAATGTATCAATTCCAAGTATCACTTAAATTTTAGATGTTTTGCTTTGAAGCATGAACATGTTTTGCCTTTATACAGGAATATAACAAAAAGAATAATATGTCAAAAAAAAAAAATCCAGCCACTGAGAATGGCTGTTTACATAGGAACTACCTATACTTTAAAAATGATTTGTCTGTGTTTTTCTAAATGTGTGTGTGAACCATAGCACCATCAGACAAAATTATGCCATAATGCCCAGAACTGAAGTTCATGCATACCACCAGGAAAGAGATAAGTTGAAAAGATCCAAATAATATTCCTTAGAAGAATATTAATAATTTAATAATTTATTGAAAACAGGTAACATCTTCTAACTGATCTGTTAGTCCAAATAAGTGCAGCTAATGAAGTTTTAAATGGAATTGATGCTTCCAAGTTGCAAGACTGGGCCTTTGTGCATTGCTTTGTGTCAAGAATCATTTGAAAAATTTATTATTTTTCAGTGCTTGCTATGTGAGGTTTAATAAGTGTAAGCATGCTTAGGTCTCAGCATTGCATTTATGTTTTGCCAGTTTGCCTACTAGCGATCTATTGAGCAGAACTTTCAAGGCAGAGGTGCAAGTCTATGCCCAACAATCCCCTTTTGTTTTTGCAGATGTTTAGGCTTAAAGCGGTGTTGTGGAGCTCAGGCCCTGTTTGTACTTGCATGCTGCTATTCTCTGCTCATTGTCTAAACCTGTGTGCATTGTTCTCCTTGACAGGTGATAACTATCCTGTGCAGTTCATTCCATCAACAATGGCAGCTGCTGCTGCTTCTGGACTCAGCCCTTTACAGCTCCAGGTATGTGCCAAAATAAAAATATGTGGGCTCAAAGCCAGTACTTTAGTGGAAAACTGCTAACCAGCTGTATGCTAAGTAATGGCTTGAATGTTAAGTAATTTTTTAAGCACAGCTCCAGAAGGATTAACACCTTATGTACTAAATATGCTGCAAACAGAGCAGCATGTGTCAAGCTTGATGCTGGGAAATGCAGCCAACTTTGTATTTTTATCAATTGCTTAATAATTTCTGGCACAATAATCCAATCTATGCTTAAGTGCTTTTAAGTCCCTTGATTTGGTGGGAGAATTAAGCAGTCCTTAAAATCTTTTCTTCAACTTAAAGGTGTTTCAAAAGTACTTAAATTGTGCTGGGTATGTATGTAGAGAGGATGGAAGAATCAAGTAACTCTTAGTGGAATTTAGGTTTGAAATATTTTATTTCTCTTAAGCTTTTTCCAGATGTAGCCAGTTTAGCTTTTGCTCCTCATTGTGGGTGTCTGAAAAATGTCAATTTCTCCTTCTTTTGGGCTTTGTAATGACTGTTTCCTAAACTGTAGACTTGCAGCTTCTGTATTTATGGAATCTCAGTCTTTCCATGCGTTAAGTTGGTTGGATGCCAGCAGCCATCAGGAGTCTGCGTTTGGTCCCTTGCTAGGTCATTTATTTATTTTTGTCATAGGGGGAACTAAATGTTGTGTGAAAATGATTTATATTCCAATTTATTATATAGCCTTTTAATATTCCCCAAGAAAAGGCACAATAGTGTCAAATAATGAAGTAGCAGTCAAAAGCTTATAGAGTAGGTGTGTTTAGCAATCATGTTAGAGGTTTACCTTTTGATTATTTAAATGTTGTAGCTAATGCCTCTTGTAATTGTTATCAACCAAAATTATTGTAGTATTAGTTTAGTAGTGGCAAACGTTGCAGTTTAGTTAGAGGAAAATAGATTTACTTGTTTGCCAGCTTGTTTGGATTACAGAATATTTTAAACATAAAAGAAATCCAGCCTTAATGGTTGCAGAATTTTTTTAAGAATCCTGATAAATGAATGGATAAATTTGCTCAATTATCACTTTAGTGCAGAATTGGATGGAATCTGAGAAAAGAGAGGCAGCATTAGAAAGATATAATTTTCCAGTTTCCAGCTAAAGGGAAAGAGATCATGATATGGAATTCCTTCTCTAAAGGGACAGCTGTTGTCTACTGGGTTGCCATATTCTTTTGTGATTAAGAGGAATCTTTAAAATCATATTTTGCTACTAATATAAATTATACATGATACATTACCTTGTTCCTTTTCAGAGTATTGGACTTTTGTAAGATTGAAATGTTGTCTAAGAAAAGCCATATTTCAATCTGGCAGCTTTTATTTACTGTATATCTAATATTTATAATGGGTGTCTCAATGTCTCAGTTTGATTAGAGAATCCTTGCTCTTGAGTTGTAAGAACAATCATTCTTATGCATCAATGCTTTCTAACTTTTAACAGAACTTGTTCTTAAAATGATTCTTAATCCTGAGATATATTTCTGTGAGATACACTACCAAGATTTGGTAAACTTGAATTGCTGATCATATCTTATTTTCTTCTTTTGAAAGACTCCACTCCCCCAATAGAAATTGCATAACATGTATTGCATTATGACGCTATTGTATCTCTAAGAAAAATTGAAGCAACACACACAGGCCCAAACACAGTTTATTCTTTCTGAAGAATTTGCTGAGGTTGTGGATTGAACTCTTCCTAACAGCTATAGCTCTTTCAAAACTATGTAAGGTTCGGTGCTCTGAAAGGTATTACTAAAGCATCCCCTAGAACACATAACAATGTCTTTCAGCATAGTAGACAACTTGGTGCTTTCCAGATTTTGTGTTTTATATCTACCAACCATTTTAGTATATCCAAAGGCAAGGGATTATGAACTGTAATCCAAATATCTGGAGAGTCTAAGATTTTTCAGTGACTGAAGTTAAGCAGTCTTTTGCCATGTCCTAAAGAAGAGAAATGTGTGGTCTACTGAGTAATGCAGAAAACTATTATCTGTAAGCAAGTTGTAATTCATTAGTTCATTAGATGAGTTGTCCAGAATATTGCATGATCTAAATCAGGGATGTCAAATTCAAGGCCTCCGGTCAGATCTGGCCCGTGGAGTGCTTAGATCTAGCCCATAGAACCACCCTGGAAACAGCAACAGAGCAGTCTGTGATGCCTCTGCCAGCAAAAATGGAGCTCGGGAGGGCACACTCTGTGATGACCTCCTGCAGTGCACTGCCACTGAAAATGGAGCTCAGGAGCGCTGTGTGTGGCCTTCCCAAGCTCCATTTTCACTGGCAGAGTGCTGGAGGAGGTCATCACAGCTGAAAAATGAAGCATGGGAGGGGTGCCCCCAACACGAATGATGTCGAGGTGACCACGCCCACCCCAGCCATGCTTACTTGCCCCCCCCCCCAGGTCAAACACAACCCTGATGTGGCCTTTAGTGAAATCTAGATCATATTCTGGGTGACAGCATATTGAATTCTGTTGAGTACAATTCCTGATTAAAGGAGGCACAACAAGCTATTGTCTAATATGTGAGACAGTCAAAGTAGCAGAAGAGTTACTCTTTTTAAAGACTTTTGTCCACTCTGCTTCTCAGAACCAACAGTTGTAGAGAAAATTAGTGATGTATCCATTTTAAATATGAGGAATTAAAGACTGAAAAGTACATAGTCTAATGTACCTGTCTTTCTCATGCTGATCTTTTTCATTATTTTATTACTGTTACAAGACCATGACTTCAAAAGTGCAGACATTCAATCCTTAAAAGAAAAGGGATTTGGAAAAAAAAAGAATAAACATTAAATTTGAATTAATAATAAGTGGATCAAATTCTAACCAACCTGTGACTACTTTCAGTGTCAAGGAATCACATCTGGGCTCATGCTGACAAACTGTCTCTTCCTCCCATCAGTGTTTGAATTAACTAATTAATTCATATTAATATACAATAACAAGGTTCAGTTATATGACCCAGTGCAATAATCTGATAGCCGTTCTTCCCTAGATTTAGAAAGAGTGAGCTTTAGTATATTGTTTTTTTCTCCTACCCCTCAAAGCAAAAAAAAAAAAAAAAGCAGTGATGTGGGTGTGTATACATGTATATAAAATGGGTGGGGGGAGAAGAAGAAGGAAAGAAAGAAAAGAGGCAATTATGTTAACTGAAGTTGTCCTAACAAAATGTTCTTTAGAAGTGTACATAGAGGCAGAGGGGAGGAGGATGAAAGAGTAAAACCAGCCTATAACTTCCCCTTTATCCCTGATGCCTTCCTGAGCAATTTGTCCTTCAAAGTTTATCACGTATAACATTAATGAGCCTTGGCAACTCTTAGCCCTGGTTGCAGCTGTAGGCTGAAAGTTTTCATCATCAATGAAATTAAACAACACCCGCCACAAAAGCCTGTCCTGCCGGCTTCTTTATCCTCTCGCTTTTCTCTGCTCTTCACTTTGCACAACGTAACGACCTTTTGTTATACCACAGGGTGCAGATCCAAAGTATTGCTGAAGCATTGCAGCGCCTGCCTCAGGGGTACAATATTAGCGGTATGAAGGCCAAAGAATGCTATTTTTAGTTGATCAGTTCGGCAGATGGAGGCAGGAATATATATCTGAAGGTTGAGGGTTTGAACCATTAATTTTGATAATGTATTTAACCCTGGGAACAATCAGAAACTGTAACTCTAAGGTTACAATGCTTTTGACCTTTACAGAACAGAGGGCATTCGGTACAGTAAACAATATATTACATTTCTACTTATTCTAATTCTCTCACACATATAAATTTCAGGACAGGGTTGACATTTGCTTTCCTCAGCTATTTTCGTGCAGGCCCTTAAAGTAAGTAGAGAAGAATGTGCAGGAGAGAGGCCGCTGTAATGTGACAGTCATGTAAATATGGCCTTTAAATAGCTAAGGCATTAAATGTAGCCTTTTATGAAGAAATATTATTCTCAAGAACCAGCATCTCATTTGTTCCTCTCTCTCTCCCCCCACCCCATGGAAAAGTTGGTATATGAGCCGTGTCTCTTTAGGCATTTCCTGTATATTGCTGCGAGCTTAAAGCGAATTTTATTGGGGTTAATGCTATGCAATAGGCTATCCTAGAGAAAAGGCAATTGAGTTTGGCTCTAGCCTTTCATTGTGTAAATAGGTCCTACCTGTTTGTGGCTTTGTGAAATGGGGCACACTTCACCACAGCAAATACAGCCGTTAGATATCACACAGCTTAAGTATTCCTAATTAAAGTATCTCCATGTGTCAGCATATTGGTAATGTTTTATTTTAATCCATTTATTTTGTTTATGAAACACTGACATATGTTTAGATTGTGAAATATATGAGCCTTAAAAATCACTTTATTGAAGAAAATTAATTCCTACAATGCTGTCTGGGTAATGTGTTCACTCACCCAGTCAGTCACTGGCGGGCCTGCCACTCTTAATGTTGCTTAGACACACTTTAACAGTTTTATCTGACATAACATTTCTCTGATGCAGCCAGCAATAATAATTGCCCTGCACAAATGCTAAACAGGGGTTTCCTTTATTTTTATTTGCAATCCAGTAAAGAATTGGGGTTTGGGGAGAAAGCGGAAAAAGAGATGGGAAGACTGCGTAAAAGATTCAAGTAAGACCAATCAAAATTAAAACCAGCTTCCTACCTTTTCAAAGTTTGACACTGCAATTTGTTTTTCAGCAGGTAGATTTTCAGGTCAATGCTGTGAGTGACTGACTGTCAGCGGGAATTCCACCAAGACAAGTAATTTCACTTAGAGTATTAGTGACAGATTGCTCACTTCTTCGTATCACTAGAGAAAATAAACTTAATATTGTTACAGGCACAGTTTCTGTCTTCATTAGCCTTATAGAAACATTCTGCCTTGTACGCTTTTTCTCTTTCTCAACCTCTCCCCCTGATGAGCCTATTTTTCTATTATTTTAAACCAAATGCTCCTGCTTATCATATCTCTGTTAAAGTG